GAAGTTGATGTCATCCTTGAAGACAGCCTAGAGTCGGAGTTAGGAGCTGTCTGGATGGGAAGCAGCCTCACACACACACACACACACACACACACACATAGTCACATGTCGATAAACCAAGTAAGTGACTTGAGGCGACTTTTGTTGTGATTTGGCACTATATAAATAAAATTGAATTGAATTGAATTGAATTGATCACACTCATCTTCCACTGACTAACTTTTAATTAAAAATGTAAATAATTTAAACCGTTTGGTTCTTAAATGTTTGATACAACATTCCACATTTCTCTGCATTTTTTATTTATTTTTATTTATTTTATTTTATTTTTTTATATTCCCAAATACTGATTGATTAATAGCTCTGGGTTTGGGCACTCATAATGCATCATTTGTTTTCAGAAAAAAAAAAGCCTCAACTTTCAGAGTTTATTCATAGGGGTATATCATAGATGTAGCACTTCTTGAAGGATCTTTTTCTGTAGTGTTACCTCTCTTCTAAAACTTGAACAAATCTATGAAAACTTTGTGATCAGTCATCTATTTTTTGGCCATTTGTAAAGATGCCATATTTAAGCTGCTTTAACGTCTGCAAGCCACTTTGCAACCCTCACCACTGCTTCTCCTTATCATTGCTGTAATCACATCTGTTGTCATCACTCTCTTCTGTTCTCTGGTCTCACTGCAGCTGCTGCTTTTAAAGATTACAGCCATGCCACTTAATAGAAAGGACTGCAGATGAAATAAAAACCACCCTTTGACTATAAACCTTTTCAGTAAAGAAATAAGTTACCTGCACATAAGTCAATGACTTGTTGCTTATGTTGTATGTTGAGACAGAGCAGGTTAACCCAGCGTCAGTCTGATGTCTGTGTGCATTTAACAATTCTGACAGCTCATATTTTATAGAAAATGTGCTACGCTGTGCAATTCTATGGATGCATTCGATTTTTGCTACTGCTCATTCCTACCTTATTTTTTTTGTAATTATGCCTATTGCCGTATTGCGTGCAAAGTCATTAACTTGGTCCTTCATTTGAGATCTGTGCTGGGTAGCAGAAATGGACAGAAACGGATGAGAATAACAAAGAGACACAGCCTTGGCACAGATAGAGAGGCTCTCACAGCTTGTAGAGTACCATGCACTCAATGGACTGAGAGAAAAAGATCAAGAGGGGGAAATGTGATTAGAAAAAAAAGTTACTGTATGATTAGAAGTTTGGAGAACAAGGGCAAGAAGCCAATATTGAGAGCTTTATGGAAAGGCCGTCAGGATGGGAAAATGTAAAATAAGGAAAAAGCCAGTAAAGAGAAAAAGAGAGCGGGATGAACAGATGGAGTGGGTTGGGACTATTTTGGTGCACGATGGGATTATCAGCAAGTGGTTACAGTATGTTACAGCTGAAACGTGTTTTATGTATATACCTCTCTGACTCACTTGGTGACTGAGCGGTTGCTTGTATGGCCTTTTCATTCATAACAACAAGCTTCGCATACCTCTGAGGCGGCGGTGGACCTTAGATTGTCTCATATGTCCGACCTCTGTGCTAACAGGACAACAAAAGCGTCTGGTTATGAAAATATAACACACAAATATGTAGTATCTAAATTTGCTTGCCCTTCATGTTGTGAACCACTGTGTTCAGTGATGCAAGAAGTGATTATATTGTCTACATAAACCATTATAAAGAAAACAGCCAAGGTTTTAATAACCAGGAAGTATCAGAAGGAAAAAAAGTACTCGTTGAGAAAAATGTCTTCGGTGATTATATATTAAAATTTTAGAGTATTGTGTGTTCGGCACTGCTGACTGATAAATCATCGTATCTTTGTCATCACAAAGTAAATATAAAGACAAACACTGAAATGCAATTTCTGTGAATAAAAGTCATTTTATGTACTTGTGTAGTTACCTCATACCAGGAGGCTCTGGGTTCGAACCTGCTGGGATCCTTCTGGGTGACCTTTCTCTTGTGTTGGGCTCATTGGTGCTTCTGAGTTGCTCTTTGTTTTGTGTGTTTTTGTATGTTAGCTTATCCAGTGTAAGCTATTAGTTAGCTTAAGCATAACTTTGTTTTCTGTGTGTTGTCGTTGGACATACATGGTGTTGAGAGAGTTTCTGTAACCATAACTGTAAAGAGTAAGTTTAAAAGGAAATGCCGTTATACTTGAACTTCAGTAAATGCACTTCGATCACACCTCAGGCTGCTTACACTCCATCTGTGCCACAGCACAGAACAGAAAATATACTATACTATATGAGCCGCACCTGTGAGCATGCAGTGCCTGTTCTCTGCTGTCAGTGACTAATAGTTTACCATTACATAGCTCGGCTCTGGTGTGGACCTACCCAAATTTCCCTGCGTCCAGTTCGAGCTGTTGCTGAGGCAACAAGCAGCGCCATAGAACTGTATATAGCATCTCTGACTGAGGTTCTGGTAAAAACTGGCTCCATGCTCGCTTTCAAAAAGCATACAGGAAAGCGAAGTGCAAAAAGACACGATTCTAAGTCATCACTGTACTTGTACTGGCATAGATCGCAATTTAAAGGTGGTTAAAGTTTGGCTAAGATTAACTAGTTTTAGGCTGGAACTACAATATTCCAGGAATAATCCTTTTACCTTTGATCCCTCTCTAATGTTTTCAGGAGCAACATATTTCAGAGTATATAAAATGCCAGTCACATTAGGCTTTATATTAGATCTGCTATAATTTTAAGACCCTTTTATAGCTACCTTAGAAATATAATGAATGACAAACTCCAAAGTCTTGGAGGTGGAATTTTCTGGATGTTAGACTTTAAAAACATAAATAGGATGCTATGATATAATTTCATTTGAAAACAAATTCGTGAGCAGATATTAATAATATAAAAAAAACAAACAAAGCTGAAGTATAACCTCATGCAGAGCACCTGTTTCACACCCATACACAGCTGATAGGAGTTTCAGGTGATGTAACCACAGGGGGAAAGTTGGAATCGTGAAGTCTGGAGTGGAGTGGTATAGTTGAAAAAAGGTTGATGTGATGTGCTTTTCCAACCATCATCGTGAATGAGCAACGATGTACAGCACGTGTCTAACCATCGTACTCTGTCTCTCCTCTGTCTCCTCTCTGGTAGTGACTATATAATCAAAGAGAAGACAGTGCTTCTGCAGAAAAAAGATAGCGAGGGTTTTGGCTTTGTCCTAAGAGGTGCAAAAGGTAAGACGCGAGCACGCTCACAATCATACTGAAAATACAGTACCTTACACGCAGTGCTAATGCAATCTCATATTTTCACACCATCTTCAGCTCAGACTCCTATAGAAGAGTTTACTCCCACCCCGGCCTTCCCTGCCCTGCAGTACTTGGAGTCAGTGGATGAGGGAGGTGTGGCCTGGAGAGCCGGTCTCAGGATGGGGGATTTCCTAATAGAGGTAGTGATTATCATTATTTATTATTTATCTAATCTGATTTCCAAAGTCAGAAAATTTGATTAAAATGCTAGATCTGCAACTGAATCACCATGAAAATGATGAGGAGAAGCAATCTAGACAAGTGTGAGTGTGAATAAAAAGACATTACAGTAGACTACTTCTGCCCATTTCCTGGTTTGTATTTTTATTCTGTAGTTTGCTAAAGTAGCTCTATAGTTAAATAAAAAGGTCATTATTTGTCTTTTACTAAGCTTTGGTGCAGATCATCAGTTTTGCTCTTCGTTTAAGCCAACTTTCATTGACATCACACAGAATCAAGAGTAGCAAAAAACAAAAAGTTTGAAACAATTCCTTGTGAACCAAAGCTAACAAAGGACAATTTTTATAAATAGTGATGTGTAGAAACTCTAAACTACAAGTGCTTAACGTTGTCAACCATCTGGTTCATTGCAGTAAGTGAAGGGTAAAGTTATAAAAATGAATTTTCTTAAAATAAATAAATATCTACACCTGTGTTGTGCCCCAGGTCAACGGTCAGAATGTGGTGAAAGTTGGTCACCGGCAGGTCGTCAACATGATCCGGCAGGGTGGTAACAGCCTCATGGTCAAGGTTGTAATGGTAACCCGCAACCCTGACATGGAGGAGGGTTCAAGGAAGAAAAGTAAGAGTCTGCTTTCTTCTTCCTGGAGTGCCATCCTGTTCTCATTCCCAGGGTGTCAAATTGTAACATTGACAAAATGTCACTATTTGACACTTACAGACGACTGCGCAAGATGTCCTTTGCTGTGGCACACAGGTCTATCATAATACTTAGACAACCCTCTCACTTCCAGCTCTTGCAGAGCCATGTTTAATCACACTGTGTAGGCATCATTTGTCAATTTGCTGGGGTAATGTTTGAAGAAGTATATTTAAAGCAAAGGCACAGTCTAACAGAGCTAACCGAGAAATTTTCTGTGCCTAAACCAACCAACAAGTGAAAGCACGATCTGATATCCTCGTGTTGGTGTTGTTCCCAGATCATCATACTAAAGGTTGTTCCAGGATCAACATTGCAAGTGACCAATCAGAATGTTGTGATGTCATACTTTTGCGACTTCGGGAAAAACCGGCGTAAAACAAAAAACTGTACTTAAGCTGCGAGAAACCGCCTTTGTCCGCCGATCAACGGACCCTAACCCTTTAATAAACGCTAAGCAGAATTGATATTGTCCTTGCAACATTGGAATTTCATAAATGCACAATGGGTTGGTGCGCAAAAGAATAACGTCACAATAATGTGATTGGTCACTTGCAATGTTGAACCTGGAACAACATTTTCATGATGATCTGGGAACAACACCAACACGAGGATATCAGATCATCCCAAGTGAAAGCTCCCAGATGGGAAACACGGTTCAACTACAAAACCCTATGAGTTTTAGTTCATCTTTAGATTATTTTGGGGTTTTTTTTACTGTAGGAAGTCAAAGTCCTAATTGTGGTTAAAATCTGACTAAATAACCAGCCCTACCACACACCCCACAGATGGTTGAAAAACTGTGATGCAGCACAAACTGCCATCATCTGAATGCACAGAAACTGTGGTCTCACCTTTAAAAAACACTCTCTAAAAGTGTTTGTATAATTTTCCTGTGCAGGCTTGAATCATATGCTGGCTCCCTAAATTGGCACTCAACCATCATAACCAGTGCCAAAGGACATCTTGTGGATATCTCAGTGATGCCAGCGGCATCTGACGGGACGGCAGTATACGGGATGAGAACACGTTGGTGTTGGCTGCTGTTGATGAATTCTGGACCTAATTGAACCTTGTTCTTGAACAGCTTGACTGACCACTGCTTCCTTTTCTCTTCACTCTCCTCCAGTCCCCCAGCAGAGTAAAAGGCTGAGCACTCCAGCTATTGCCCTGCGGTCCAAATCAATGACGTCAGAATTGGAGGAGATGGGTAAGAAACTAGTTTAAACCACTGTTTTTTTAAAAGAGATGAATTGAAACAAGTAAGGGGAGCTAGGAAGATGTAGACAAAGAAGCGGGGTGCTGTACTGGGTAGAAACAGATTCAGGTGGTGTTGAATGATAGGACAGTGTGAAACCAGAGTTGGGGGTTGTTAAAGATGCTGTAAGTATGAAGGGGAGTTGAGCAAGGGCTAAATTTAGATGGCAAGACAGTAGTGAGGAGAGAGCGCAGTTATTCAGTGATAGAAACTAGCAGGAAAGAAGATTGGCTGCCGCCATGGATGACGGTCTCAATGCATTTCACTGTTCTTTCAGAGGTTCCACACTGTCACTTCCAGCACCCCCACTACAGGTAACCCCACCCAAAACGAGTGTCGCCATCTACCCTGTGATCCCTCTCTCACTGCCCGCTTCTCTTGCCTCTTACCCCTTGCACCCCTTACTGCTCCCTGGCCCCGCCCACTCAACCCCAGCACCCACAGAGTAGCCTACCAGCCCCTCTGCTCGCACTCATGCTGACACTCAGCAAGCATTTGTCGCCAAGGTAACACTGAAACTGCAAAGGTATCACCTGAACAGAGTTTGCGGGTGCTACATGCATCAGAGCGAGGTGTCTTTTTTTTTTTTTTTTGCTGAAAATCTCTGTTATTGATTTGGAAGAAAATCACACCAAGGATAAAATTATTGAGATGAGTAATTTTTGAAAAAAAAAAATCGAAAGAAAGAAAAAAAAACTTTGTTCCAGGTCTGTTGCTATGGTGACTGCATTATGTGTGGCTATGCCATCTCTATTTGAGGCAAAATAGTGGGAGGAGAGTTGCTGATCAGAACGCTGGCCAGTATTTTACTGCTGATTGGGTTATATCTTCCAAGCACTTAAAACGCTCTGCTTCTGAGCATGCCCAGTTAACGGCTAATAATATATGAGAGCTGATGACATGAGAATGATCAGCTAGGCTTTGTTAGGTAGTCTCAGATCTCCTGAGCTCCTTGCATTGTTGACCCATATGTGTTATCCAGAGCTCTACACACTCTTCTACATGATGTCGCTGCATATACACTCTCAGGGGGCAGTGTCAAAAAACGATCTGGGCTTGTTTTAGTGGTTTTACCTAACATGCAAAAGATCCCTGGTTTCATCCTGGCAGGAGATGCCCCCACTGGCGTCCAGTTTAATCATTTTGAAGTAGCTTGTTCTTCTTATTATTCTAGTCTTGTCCAAATCAGGATCAGACTTGATGAACCTGAGTGTAGAGATTAGCCTTTTGCTTAATTCCTCCCCCATCTCCTCCCCTCACCTGCCCTGTTTTTGTGGTGTGATCTCACCTGACCACCCAAAGCATGAGCACCCAGTCTGACACACAAGTACAGGTTTCCTGAACCCCTTAACCCACTTTCCTACTGTCCCAATGCTCACTATAGACTCCTCAGTCTTACCAGTAACACTGTATGTATGATCTGATCCATACAGTTTCACTCCAAGCAACAAAGGTGTTAATGCACACACATGAATAGTCATATTAATATTGTTGTTTTTAGTACTGTTCACCCAACAAGTGAAGGATTCCCTTCCTGATGCAACTCCAAATCCGTTTGGGGTTGCATCAGGAAGTGGATTCTGTATAAAAATATGCTGAGCTACCAAATGTGGCGACCCCTTATGAATGAGGGAGGAGCCAAACTAAGCCTAAGAAACATAGAAGCATATGCTGCATAATTTGTGACCACTCTATTGTACATCTTTTTCACAATTCCTAACAAGGTATCTGCATCGATATTATCTATTTATGTGTTAATTTAAAACAAGAAAAATCTGTCAGGCCT